CCTATATCTATACCTGGACCCATACCTGGACCTGGACCTATATCTGGACCTGGACCTATATCTATACCTGGACCCATACCTGGACCTGGACCCATATCTGGTCCTGGACCTATATCTGGACCTGGACCTATACCTGGACCCATACCTGGACCTGGACCTGGACCTATATCTGGACCTGGACCTATACCTGGACCTGGACCTATATCTGGACCTGGACCTATACCTGGACCTATATCTGGACCTGGACCTATACCTGGACCTATACCTGGACCCATACCTGGACCTGGACCTGGACCTATATCTGGTCCTGGACCTATATCTGGACCTGGACCTATATCTGGACCTATACCTGGACCCATACCTGGACCTGGACCTGGACCTATATCTGGACCTGGACCTATACCTGGACCTACCATTCTGTGTTCGTCTGTCTCTCCTTCCTGTCCTCTCAACCAGCCGGTCAAAGCAGATGGTCTCTTGTCCTGATCCTGGTTCTGCTGGAGGTTTCTTCCTGTTAAAGGGAGTTTTTCTTCCCACTGTCTCCACTGTGCTTGCTCAGGATGGGAGACTGCAACGAAGCCAAGATTCAACTTGTCTGCTGGATTCCTCAGATAGAGAACTTTACTAACTGGCTTTTATGTGAATGTTCCTGTAAAGTCCCTGAGACAACTTGGTGTGATTTGTTGCTTTATGAATAAACTGAATTGAACTGAACTGTAGAGACTAATCAGAGCTTTATCACATTCCGACACTGATGGGACACATCAGAGGCGATGAGGGTTCATCTTGCCCAGGGACACTTCAACATGTGACTGCTGGTGGAAAGTTTAAGTTGATTCTATGAAATGTAAAAATCTAATAATTTTGTTAATTTCAAACGTCAGCATGAGGACAGACTGTGGTTTGACACCTCTAACACTTTATCAGAGGAATGTTGTGCAACGTTTTTCATCTTCATCTTCTGGCCAAGAAAAACATTTACTACAAAGAAAAACGTCTGCAAAAGCTTTTGAATTAAATGTGGCCATTTAAATGTGTTTCACATGAACTGATGTAGATTTGAGTTGAGTCCCGTGGAGGAGGAGGAGGAACGACAGTGAAGGAAGCGCACCTGTTCATTGATGGAGCTGTAGTCGTTAGTGGTGGACACGTCTTCATCCTCCGAGTCAAACAGGCCCTCCTGATTGTCCAGCAGCTCTGCCAGGACTCTGCTGACCGACTCCTGGTCTCGGATGTCTCCTCTTTCAGCTGACAGGCTGCAGATGAAGAAGACAGTTCACACTGACGCACAAATGTTCTAGATGTTTCACAAAGTATGTTGTAATAAAAAAAAATCCCAACTTTTAAAACTTTTAATGCTTCTGCAGGAGCCAATTGTTCCTAACAGTAATTATTGATCCTACATGATGGTCGCTCTCTTAAAAACCTTCTTACTGGAAAATATCTGGTCCGAAGACAGCAGCCAGCGCCGCAACGTTCCAGCTCTCCGGCTGAAGTGATGCCACGTTGGACAGGAAGCGGCACAGGAAACGCAACAGAGCGTAGTTGAGCTGGGGAAGCTGCTGCAGGACATACTTCAGGTTCCTGCACAGCTCGTCCTCACTGCTGTGATCTGTGTTCAAGAGCAGAAAACGCACGATGACCGACGATTCTGCTGTACTGATCACAGCTGCTTCGTTTATTTTTACTGAAATGACACTCTTCAAGGGAAATTATAACATTTAATCTTCTTAAACTGAGCCGGTTAAAGGATGTGAGGCAGGAAAAGATGACCGAGTCAAAAGATAATTTTTTTGTGTCATTATAAAATACCACAAGGGCGACACAAATACTATATAAAAAATATCCAGTCGTCCTCATCCCTCTGTAATCTAGATGTCTTCAAAAGTAAAACGTCATGGCAGAAGGACTAAGATGATACATAACAGCAAGAGGAGAAAACAGCAGGACTCTGACGTGAAACAAAAAGGAAGGGGAGATTTAAGAATGAGATTAAATATCAGCCATCAACAGTTTTCATATTTACCTCTCGATTCAAAACAGGCCTCTAAATATTTGTTCAGTATAATGTCAGTACTAATGTAAATATTCCAGTAATTCACAATACTACGTGTTAGTCAATTTCCAAAACCATCATAAAGATGTCTCGCCCCGCCGTATAACTAAAGCTCTAATCTAGTTAGATGACCTTTTTAGTTATTAACCGTTTAAAACAAACCTGGGATTTAAGGAGAAGAAGATAAAGTTCTAAAGTTCTAGATAAAGAGAGGGAGGTGAAGGAAGCAATTTATGTAAAAAGAGAAAAGCCGTCTCTTAACAGAGGAGGAGGCCTCAGATTTCCACTTTCAAAAACCTATAATGCAACTTTAAAACAGATTCCCAGACGGTTTTCACACCTGATGGGAACAGAGGGGCCTCGTCTGTGAATTAGAGGAACAAAAGACTCTTACTGTTAATGTTTGTTTAGGTGTGACTTGTCAAATCTACATGTGTGTGTGTGTGTGTGTGTGTATCTTATCTCACTCAGACTTATAACCTGTATCTCTCACTCTCTGCTCTTTGAATTGAGAAAGCTCCTCGGATGAGGAGCGAAACGTCTTCTGTTACAAATAAAGTCCAGTTGTTTTTGTGTTGAACGCTTTTTGAAAGATAAAGTTCTATAAAATGTTCAAATCAAACAAAATATCTGAGCTCACTTTGAGAAAAAGCAGGTAAAATCTTGTTTTCTGAGGGTAAAAATAAAACAGAGGGATGAATGGGTGAGGCTGAAAAGCTGAAAGAGTGAGAGAAACACACCTTGGTGTAGCTGGATTATGTGTCCTTGGACATCCGTCGGGATGACGGGGTCTGGAAGCTCCTGAAGAAAGAGTCGCAGCAAACTGACCGCTGACGCCAGGTCGGCCTCCTTCTCCAGCTCCACCTCCTCGCCGCTGTCATAACGCTGACGCAGCCAGTCCACTCGCTCTGCGTTACCATTAACCAGGAAGAGCCCCTCGAGGTCCAAACGACCTGACCACATGGGCAGTGACACGTAAACTCACGAGGACAGAACCTTTACAGCTGAAAGTGACCCTAACCCTCCTCTGGACATGTCCAAACCACTGTCCCTCCTCTGGACATGTCCAAACCATCTCAGTGTGTCCTCTCTAACTTTATCTCCCAGTTGTTCAACCTGTGCTGTACCTCTGATGATCTCATTCCTGATCTTCTCCATCCTTGTCACTCCTAAGGAGGACATTAGCATCTTAATTTCTGACACTTCCAGTTCTGTCTCCTGTCTTTTTGTCCATGTCTCTGTCTCCAGACCATACAACATAGCTGGTCTCACCACTGTCTTGTTAACTTTTCCTTTGACCTTTGCTGACACCCTTTTGTCACAAATCCCTCCAGAAACTTTTCTCCATCACTCCATCACTCCATCCTGCCTGGACTCTCTTCTTCTCCTCTTCACCACACTCCCCATGTTCCTGGACAGTGGACCCAGAGTCCTTGAAGTCCTGCAGCTTTGTGACCTCTGCTCCTTGTAGCCTCACTGTTCCACCTCCTCCCTCTCATTCACACACATGGACTCTGTCTTACTACGGCTGACTTTCATTCCTCTTCTTTCAAGTGCATACCTCCACCTCTCCAAGTTCTCTTCCACCTGTTCCCTGTTCTCTCCACAGATCACATTGTCATCTACAAACATCATAGTCCATGGGGGTTCCTGCCTGACCTCATCTGTTAGTCGGTCCATCACCAGAGCAAACAAGAAGGGGCTCAGAGCTGATCCTTGATGCACTCCCACCTCCACCTTGAAGCTATCTGTCACTCCTACAGCACGTCTCACCACTGTCCTGCGTCCTCATACATGTCCGGCTGTCCTCATACCTGTCCTGCTGTCCTTATATATGTCCTACTGTCCTCATACATGTCCTGCTGTCCTTATACATGCCCTACTGTCCTCATACATGTCCTGCTGTCCTTATACATGTCCTGCTGTCCTCATACATGTCCTGCTGTCCTCATACCTGTCCTGTACCAGTCTAACATACTTCTCTGCCACTCCAGATGTCCTCATGTAACACCACACCTCCTCCCTCGGCACCCTGTCAGATGATTTTTCTAAATCCACAGAGACACAATGGAGTTCTTTCTGACCCTCTCTGTACTTCTCCATCAACATTCTCAAAGCAAAGATGGATCTGTGGTGCTCTTTCTCTTTCTTGGCACGAAACCATCCTGCTGCTCACAGATAGTCACCTCTCATCCAAGTCTAGCTTCCACAACTCTCTCCCAGATCTTCATCATGTGACTCATCAACTTAATTCCCCTGTAGTTGCTACAACTCTGTACATCACCCTTGTTCTTAAAAATGGCCACCAGCACTTCTTCTCCATTCCTGAGGCATTTTCTCACCCTCAAATATGCCATTGAATATTTGAGTCAAAAACCTAAACCTGTATTGGTGTATTTCTGTAAAGCACTGTGATTTTTTATCTATGAAAAGTGCTATATAAATACAGTTTACTTACTTATCTGGCAACGTGACCGACATGGAAACAACAGCGTTTTCATGTAAACACACTCATACTTATTACCCCCAATAAGCATTGAAAAAACACTAATGTTTCTAGAGGTTGTTCTCGTATAAACGGGGCCTTATTGTAGATAGATCACTTTGACTTGGTCATTTTAAAAGGAGCTCACATGCTGGAAAAGGTCTGGGCTCCCCTGGTTTAGTTGTAGACATTTGATAAACCCAACAGAACCTCTGGATGTAGACATTTCCCACAGCTGATAATAAAACCATCTCGTCGGTCCTCGTGTCTCACCGTGCTCTTCGATGAAGTCCACCACATGCTTCACCAGCGCAGGAACCTCGTGGCCGCCAGCCGTGTGTGTGAGGGACACCTCCTCCAGAGGAACGCCAAAAACCAGAGTGGTGCGGGCCGAGCTCCCACTCTCGTTGCCTGGCAACGGAGACACGCTCTTCCTCATGGCCTCCTCCACCTCCGCCGACTCCTCCTCACCACAGCCCCGCCGAAACCGAACGTCTTTCAGAGAGGAATCACAAATTTCATGAAAACAGGATTAATTATCTTCATTAATAAACTTCAGAACAACTGGACCATGTTTAAATGACTTGAGTAGAAACTGACGATGAGATGTAAATTCCAAAAAAGTTAAATCTGGTCCTCTGGACATTCAAAAAAACAAAAAGCAAAAAAAAAATGTAGAAACGTTTCGTCTCTCATCCAAGAGACTTCCTCAGTCTGAGGTGCTGTATTCAGCTCAGTCTCTTAAATAGCACCTTCTCAGAGTGGATCAACCAGTTTGCTGCTGACAACCAGAACCAGCTGATTCTGGACCCATACCTGACCGCAGAGTCCTGGCCTGATGATGTTGATCTTCTGTGCTGGGCCATCCTTTTGGCCAGTGGCTGTTTAGTTTCCCCGATGTAAGACTGATCACCCTCCTGACACTGAACAACATACACAACATTACTCTGTTTGTGCCGGGGGACTGGATCTTTGGGATGAACCAGTCTTTGCCGTAATGTATTTTGGGGTTACGGCAAAGACTGGTTCATCTCTGAGGTCTACACTCATCTCCAGGCCAGCGGTCACTCTTTCAGGGATGAAGATGTTCACATCCTGGACAGAGAGGAACGATGGTTTGAGAGAGGAGTAAAGGAGGCCATCTTTGTGAAAAGAAACCGTCCATCATTAAACAGGGGTGGAGCCTCCGGGTTCAACTGTCCCCCTCTTACAATGCTGTGATTGCTAGTATCACTCAGCCCTCTGTGAACAGTAAACAGCCATCAGGTGCTAATGATCCATTGTTAGGCTGATGGTCCTTCTTGATCATGTGATCAGCTGGTTCTGGTTGTCAGCAGCAAACTGGTTGATCCACTCTGA